AAAGTACAAGATATTTTTGAATAACTTTTTTTCTGAAAGTCATAGAGACTTGGGCATTTCATGATTAATAAAGGAGAGCCTGCTACACACCCACACCGAATTTCAGCACGTTTCGAGCAAGCAGCGTGGAGTTATTCACCCTAAGGTGATATGGGTTAGGTTTGAAATTAGGGTTAGGGTTACAATTAGGGTTGTGATTAGGGTTAGGGTTAGGGCTGTGATTAGGGTTAGGGTTAGGGTTGTGACTAGGGTTAGGGTTAGGGATGAGAAGCCATTGGAGATCAAGATATTCTTGAATAACTTTTTTTCTGAAGGTCATAGAGACTTGGAAGTTGGTTCCATCCCAACTAATGTGGGTATGCCCGATCCATTGGTACCATCCGCGAACCCTAACCCTAATTGTGATTCACTCACACAATCATTCATACAGTGCATCTGTGGCCATCTTGCCCAGGGACACTTGAGCAAACAGAATGAGGAAGCCTGGGATTGAACAACCGTCTCCTCGCTCTTTCCCCTGAGCTACAGTTGCCCCAAAACAACCTTTCTTAGCCTTTAGGTGATGAAAACATGAACGGAGGAACAACTGATGAAATCATGATTATGATTATTATATTCAGTTTTATCATAGATCTCCCCAAACTGTTCACATCGGTCCTTTAAAGAAACCACAGTGTTTACACCGTCTATCATTTTATGACTGAAATTAAATTGTATATAATTTACACTTGTTTGACAGATGTGAAATGACTATAGACAAATACAAAACCCTTTTTTCTTCTTGTGTGAATTGATTGTATGTGATGAATGATGATCTTTAGTGTGTCTTTCCTTCTTTTCAGGGTTGTTGACTCTTTTTTTCTCTCTCTCTCTCTCAGGGCTGAGAGTTTGTTTGAGCGCCCTCCAGAGGTGGGTGTTGATCTGCAGTCAGGAGAGTTTCTGGGTCCTCTACAGTACAGGACCTGGAGGAAGATGAGCTCCATTTTCCTGCCAGGTACGAACACACACACACACACACACACACACACACACACACACACACACACACACAAATGTAATGAGTAGCAATTATTCTTTTGTGTTGGTTAAGCTGCGAAAAACACTGGATCATTCTGCACAATAGCACCCTTTGTTTCACACACATGACTTTCCAGCCACACCTACAGTTTGTAGGCGCTCAGTAATTTTGTTAGAAGTAAAAGCTACTCCAGTGTCACAGAAACAGCTGTTTTAACAAACTGTGTGTGTGTGGATATTATTTGGATTTTTAATATTTTATGAATTAAACATTTAGCAATTTTTTTTATTCTTTCACAACATAAATTTGTTTTGTTTCAAAGCAACTTGGGGGCAAAGTGTGAACTTTTTCATTTATTTAATTTGCTTACATGTAAAAGGTAAATGTATAATTTTTCAATTAAAGGACGTAAATATCCTTAAATTCCAAAAGTCAAGCAACACTTCAGGTGTTGTTGAGGCCGTAACACGAGACAGAAGTACCGGATTAAATGAATCTCTGGAATTACATCACAGTTTTCTATGTTGACGCACTATTTCATTAATATTTTATCTGTATCCATGTACCTGACGCTCTTATTGAGCTCGTCTTACTCTAATTGAGCAGGTTGGCTTTCAATATCTTGCTGAAGGTCACTGTCGAAGAGTCATGCTCAGGTCATTCTCCACAACCACATCTCTGTTGCTTCATTTTCTCCTTTTCTTAACTGTCACTCTCTCAGCAGTCACAGCGGTGACCCTCAACCCGGACACAGCCTACCCCTGCTTGTGGGTTTCCCCGTGTTGCACCAAAGTCCAGGTGGGCAAAATCCAGCCCAACCTGCCCAACAACCCGGAGCGCTTCACCCGCTACAACATCGTCCTGGGCTCCGAAGCCTTCTCCTCTGGCAGACACTACTGGGAGGTGGAGGTTGGCTCCAAGACTGCGTGGGGTCTAGGTGTGGCCGCAGCCTCGGTCAACAGGAAGGAGGACATCAGCCTCTGCCCGGACGACGGTTTCTGGACCCTCGTGCTGAGGGACAACGGTGATGGCACCAGTGAGTACGAAGCGTGCACCGACTCAGAGGACAGCTTGTTGTATCCCTCCAAACCCCCCAGGAGGGTGGGGGTCTATCTGGACTATGGTCGAGGTGAAGTGGCGTTTTACGATGCGGGAGACATGAGTCACCTCTTCACCTTCTATGATGCGAAATTCAGCGAGCCGGTTTTCCCATATTTTAACCCCTGGCCAATTATCAACGGATACAATTGGGAGCCGCTCACCATAGTAACACCACACTGGAGATAATCGCTCTTCTTTTTATCATATGACCCAACAGACTCAGAATTCAGAAGAGATTCAGCAGCAGATGAAGTCAGATGGACTTGAGCTTTCACACATTTGCCTTGTTATAAAGATTCAGCTGAATTAATTATGTGGTGTTGATTAACATGCAGGTGATTATAACATTCTTGTAAAACTGTAAATGCAAAGATTGAACTTAAAGCTGAGACGAATGAGGACATGGCTGGTGATATTCAACAGTTTCTTATTGTCGACAAGTTCCTGTGAAATTACCATTTTCCTGTTCATTCGACCTATTTATACCCTAACCCCACACTGTGGCTCTGGATAACACACACACACACACACACACACACACACACACACACACACACACACACACACACACACGGTTGTTTTATTTTGAGTAAATCCCACTCACACTCTGCCTCTGCCGTGAATACTCACTAAAGTACCAAATATGTATTAATCCACAGCTGAAAATAGTCCCTAATAAATCAGCCATTTTCTCCTTTTTGAAAAACCTTTGCTAAAAATGCCGTGTCCAGCTGTTGGAGGGAATCACTTTGACTATTTCTTTTACATTTTAATGGATTTACCTATTTGTGGAATTGTTTTTTTTACAATTCTTTATTATCTACTTCAGTAGAAATGAATGGGGTTTGGTGACAACAGCCAATAAGTAGAACGGGTTTTATCATGGGGGCCTTGATACATCCAGGATGAGATGGAACCAAAATGTCACCACACATGACCAACCTGAGTCCAGGCTGTATGTCTCTGTGGGATAAAGGAGATTAACGTCTCCTCTGACTTAACAGAACTTGAACTTAGGGAAACATTCACTCGTGACTGGTTTTGGTCTTTTCAGGGAACTTGTTCACAAGAATACACTTTTTCTCCTTTTATTTTTCCTTACATTTTTTGTATTGGTCCTGAAAAATAGGTAACATGTATTGATTTTGAGAAATGTAATCAAAGACTTTATTGGTAGAGTCTTGGCAGAAAGGTTTTAAATTTTATAAAAAATGAATGTTGCTAAAATATCTTACTGCATGTTTTTTTAAACAACATTTAATAACATAGCAACATCATATCTTATTGCTCTTTTTATATATATCTTGTGTTATAATTGTTTTTACATGTACATCTAAAGCAATGATGTGTATCGCAGAACAGTGACTTACAGTCTTTACATTAACACCTCTGACCTCTCACCCAGTCACATGTGTCCAACACTACACCTCTAACATGTCATTTACATACGTTCTCTTGTTTACGGCACATCCACGTTAAGATCAGAGGAAACACTGTGCAGGTATTTGACCTGAGAGTTTAATAAAATGATTAAATGTCTTGCTGAAGTTGTTGTTGGTACATTTGATTCCACCAGAGGGCATCCCAAACTAATTTTGAATGCAGCATCATCAGTGGTCGCTATAATGCACAACTCTGAGCTGCTTTTATGAACCGTGCAGACGATAAACTCAGCCTCCACAGCAGGGTTATTACAGTTAACGAAAACTAAGACTAAAACTAAAACTAGCAATGAAAAAATAATTTAGTTCACTGAAATAAAAAAAAAACGAAAATTAAATAAAAACTACAATGAACAATGCAAAACTAACTAAAACTAAACTGAATTGCAGATAAATTCAGCTTCGTTTTCGTTTCGTTTTCTCCCTCGATTACTGCCTGTCCTGCAGGTGATGGTTAAAGAATTAAATTAAAGGACTTGATAAACCATATTTGGTGTCACACATTGTTTCATCCTTTTTCAGCTTCTAAAAGTCAAGGCTTTCTCTTAATACCTGGAAAAACTAAGACTAAGACTAAAACTAAACTGAAAGTAGTCGATTCCTCAAAATAAAAACTAAACTAAAACTACAAAATCACTTGTTGAACTAACTAAAACTAAACTGAAATAAAAAAGCAAACTGAAAAGCTAAATAAAAATAAAAACTAATGAACATTTCAAAACTATAACCTTGCTCCACAGCCCACCCAAAGCTTTTATGAGAGGAGAAAAATCTTAAGTAGTTATACAGGATTATTTTTCAACATTTATTAATTTTCTTCTATGGTCCTAGAACTAGAATGGTACTCAGTAGAGCAGAGACCTCCACTAAGGCCCAACAGTCCCCATTAAATTCAATCAAGCTGCACCAAATTCCCCACACTACCTGAACATTTCATGATTTCGTGTTGCCCAGATGTAATTAGCAGTTTCTTCTAATCAGTTGATTATCTCTGGCTTCACTCTGGGTGTTGAGTTTGGTGTTTACCTGTCATGGATATACTCACATCGACTGCTGTTCCTCCTTCACCATCCAGTTAAGCTTCAGGTTAATGAGTCAGCTCGTGCCAGTCGAGCAGAATCTGTGACTACTATTACGAACAAATAAGTAATGAGAAATAGTCTGACCTAAATAACTGTATCTGTTATCCGTGAAGCTTAATCTGTGTGTCATCTGCCCATAAATTAACCAGTTTAATTAATGAATCGGTCCAGGCCTTCTCTCCTCTAACTGTCCTGATCGGTAATTAGATATTGTTGTGGCTTGATCAACATGCGGTAACACAAGCTCTCACTTCTACATTACTACTCAGCGGCCTCTCCTCCTGTCACTTGGTCCTTGATCGGTTTCAGGAAGTGTCAAGGTGAAAGACAAGTCGCAGGAGAAAAAAGGTAGAAAAGTTTTTGCCACTTTTTTTTTTTTTAAGAAAATCTATTTTGTCCATCCCTCGTCGCTCATTTCTCTTTTCATCCTCTTCATCCTCTTCATCTCTCCTCCCTCGGATGACTGATCTGTTCCCAGAATAGTACAAACTCTATTTTTAACCCAGCTTTGCTTTTTTGTTCCGGTAACGGATCTCTTTTCTGCCTCCACTAAAGAATTTGTCTCTCCCCTCTGATCAATAATCAATGAGGAGAGGGAGCTGAAGAAAGATGGAGAGGCAGTTGAAAGATGACACTGAAAAGAATGATGGAGACCTCATCAGGAGCTGGAGGGATGTCAAGTTATACGTTATCCCCAACTGTGGAGAATAGACACCATCAGGGTTTCAGTTTGGAAGACGAATGTTTAATGTCAAATAAAAGGAGGGAAAGCAGGAGAGGCCGAGATTGAGGGATATTTCAGGAAGGAGCAGAATAGAGGAAGAGGTGAGATGTTTTATCAACTCAAAACATTCACATTTTCCACTGGAAAACAGACAAACTGATGAGAGATGTTAGACATAGAAAAGTGAGATGTTTGTTGTTTTTACATACAGTAAAAGCCAGAAAGCTATAAGGGCTGCTTTACAGACCTGAAAACCACATTAACATGATCACACGCTTGCCTGAACATTGGTGTCTAAAAAAAGAGGTCAGTGGTGACACCTGAGTGTGCTCAGTCATGCTTCCTGGATAAGATTATACATGCAGGACAACACAGAGCTGATGTGTAGCTATGCAGAATAGTCTTTCATCATCACGCATAGTGTCGTGGCTGAGTCTCTTTCTTTCTCTCTCTCTCTCTTCATGTCACTAAACAAATACCTGACCCGGCCACCTCTGACAAAAATCCAATTTGTATTACAACAAAGGCTCCAGATATGACAGAGGGGAGGACAGAGGATTTATAGTGAGAGACATGGGGGGGAAGAGAGGATTTACAAGAAAGAGACAATGGAACGAGGGTGAGGAAGAAGAGACATGACAGAAAAACAGTTTGACTCAAAAGTGCCTTCAAGGATGATACACCAGCGCCATGAGGTAATTAAAACCAAAATGCCCAGACAACAAGAGGAGTGTTCACCGGTGATGAAGGGAAAGAGGTGGAAAAGGGGGGAGGAAGAGAGGGAGAGGTTGACGTGTTACAGGTAGATAATGCAAGCGAGGTAAAGTTCAGGGGGTATTGAGTGTCACGTAAAGGACCAGGCATAGCGAGTGGAGCCAGAAGTGCAGGAATTCAATCCCAGTGCCAAGACATCAGCTGATGTTAAAAACCTTCCTCACCTGCGCCCCAGCAGAGAGATATAGACAGAGGACCGTGCATCACTGAGGAAAACCGACCAGGGCTGAGAGCAGCAAGCAAGAAACAGGAGGACAGAGGATCTGCTATTTTCAACTATTATTTTTTATTTATTCCTTTCCACTTTTTAAAACTGGAAAGAAGAAACAGCCTCTGCACTGAGGGAACAACATTTAAAGTCATTTTTGAGAGAATTTGATCAATGTTGGGAAGTTTTAGTGCATAAAGAAAAAAAAAAAAAGAAAAAGGCAGCTTCTGCAGAAGAGAGAGGAGAGGAGCAGGGACCAGGGAAGAGAGTGTGTGAGGGTGAGGGAGGGGGAGGTAGAGCGAGAGGGAGAGAGAGGCTGCATCTGCCTGTGACACCGAGATGTTCATGATCATTCGAGAGCCGTCCGCCACAGGAGGCGGTCCTGCAGCGATGAGCGCCCCACAAGAGAGGAGCGCAAAACAGGTGTGTGTGTTCTTCTCTGTCCAGATATATTAGACTGTTGTGTGTGTGTGTGTGTGCAAAGTATTCATGTGTGTTATTTTCCCTGTCAAGCTGTTCTGTTACTATATATATTCTAGGCTCTGTGTGTGTATATATGCCACTGAATTTGCACAAAGAGCTGGAGAAATTTAGTTTTGCGTGAGTTAAAGTTTTGAGAAGAATGAAATTATTGGAAATGCTCCTTTATGAGTCTATCTAAGTCTTGATAAAAAAAAACCATCTTAAACATTTAGATATCAGAACTGGTGCATAAGAACGTGGCTGGTTTTCCTATTCCATGAAAGGTTGCAGTTTTTTGGGCATTTTTATAGAGAAGGTCATTTATATATATAACACCTTCCTGGGTCAGATGTTAAACATAGTGATTTAATACAGTAAATTAGATTTTAAAGGGTCACAGTGAATTCTCAAGTAGACAGAACATTTTTCACATCGAGACATGTGAACCACACAACACTTCATTTGCATTTTTGTGCACAGATGTACACAAATGTTGTGTCCATTAGTTGTGATGTTGTAAGACAAGAAAATACGTTATAAGATAAGATGTTAATAAGATCAGATGTTATGAGATAAGATAAGATAAGATGTTATAAGATGAGGTAAGGTAACATAAGATGATATGACATAAGATAAGATGTTAAAAGATCGGATGTTATGACACAGGATAAGAAAAGATAAGGTAAGACAAGACAAGATTTTCTAAGATAAGATGTTTTGAGGTAAGGTAAGATAAGATAAGATAAGATAAGATAAGGTGATGTGGGATAAGATAAGACAAGATAAGATAAGGTAATGTAAGGTAAGGTAAGATAAGATAAGAAAATATGACCCCTCCAACCCCTCCCCCCTTAGGTGCAGGCTGCCATCAAGAAGAAGATGCAGAAGCAGAGGAAGCGGACCAACGAGCAGGGAGGAGGAGGCGGTGGAGGAGATCAGGCTGCTCCTCCTCAGCCTGCCCGCCGTCAGAAATCCAGTCAGGTCTCTCAGATGACCCTGACGACAGAGGACAGAGAGTCGCTGGAGGAGAGGCTGGAGGAGATGATGGAGGGTCGACAGAGGAGAGAGAAGGACAAAGAGAAGGTGGCGGAGCACGTCGACCTGCTGCCCATAGTGGACTCTGTGTTTGGACAGGTAGGAGCCACCTGCTGCAGTGTGAGGGACTCATGAGTTCATCTGTGGGCATCTCTGGGTAGTGCATGTTAGTGTGTGTGTGTGCGTGTGTGCGTGTGTGCGTGCGTGCGTGTGTGTGTGATTGTATATGTGTGTGTGTGTGTGTGTGTGTGTGTGTGTGTGTGTGTATGTGCTGCATCAAGTTCTCCAGCTGATTGAATGTCTCGCCACTGCTGAAACCCTAGCTCTCCGGCTCAAATTGAACACCTGGCTGTGCTGCAGCTCAGCCCTGACGTCTGTGATCTGACACGTCACATTGGCATAAAGCTAAATTCATCATAAACACACACATTAACCATTCTGATTTGAACCCCTCCTACCGGATATGGCAGGAGCTGCACATCTCCAGGGCCTAAAGCTATAAGGACGGATATAGCGTGTGTTTGTGTGGATTTAAGCTCCTTTACTTTAGGAAACATTAAGTGTAATCCGTAACAGATACAGCAATGGTCGGCCAGCACCCTATCTGTGCCGCCATTGTATCAGCTCGGTATCGAATGACATCCCATAATTCACTTGGTAAGCAGTGACACATGACACGGCACGTAAGGCCACACTATTACAGCATCTGTCACCCCCGGGGTCAGACATGTGGTGTGACAAAGTGGTGTGTGTGTGTTTGTGTGTATGAAAATGAAATCAAAAGAGATTACACAGAAGTTAAAACCTCACACACTCACACACACACACACACTCGCACACTCTCACACTTACTTTCTCTCACACACACAATCATACACCCACTCACTCCCACTCACTCACACACACACACATACACGCTCACTCACACACACACACACACACACTCATTTACAAACACACTGACTCAAACACACTCACACTTACACACACTCACTCACTCACATCCACCTGAACACGTCAGCAAACTCTGGAGGGGGTAATGATGATGATGATGATGACGACGATGAGGGAGGCCGAGGTTAGAAACAGGAAATCAATGTAAAGAGAAAATAAATGTGATGTCAACTGTGATGTAAGTGATCCAAAATAAGAGAGAGTGAGTGGGAGAGAGGACAGAGTCGAGGCAGAAGAGAAGATTTATCTTGTTTCACAGGAGGGTCTTTCAGGGTCTGTGGTTGTGTAAAGCTTGTGTGTAACAGACGAGTCATAGACACTGAACACAAGTGAAACTGAAACAGACGGGCATCAAGAAAGACTCATTAATTATTTCATAAAGCAAACATTATGTCGTATCACTTGATACCATTGATTTATTATTATATTTAGTATAGAATAAAAACATATCATTTGTTAGAGTATAATAAAGTTATACTTCACTCAAGATCATTAAAATGCTGCATATATGGTGATGTGTAAATAATATTACTGTAATATATTAATATAAAAATAATGATATGTAAAATGGGCATATTATATACAGGTATCTATAACACAAAAACCTCTGAAAGTGGCCAAAATGAATCTTTAAACTTTTAAAGATTTTTATATTTTCAAATTGTTATACACCTGCCTTCTTTTTCTGTTGATTATTGGAGCTTTACAATGTGTGTGCGTGCGTGTGTGTGTGTGTGTGTGTGTGTTATCTGGGTGCACATTTCACTTTTTTGCATATCCATCATCTGCTGTGCTCACGCTCTTCATCCTCTTTTAGTAACATTAACTGGTGATGATTCGTTAGAAATGAGCCTCCAATCAAATCCCATTATATGTAGGAAATTAAGAAATACTGGTGCTACTAAAGAAATAAAATGTTGAAATACTATTAGCTCTATTTACATTTCACAGGTCGAGTAATATCTAGGTAATATTGCACTTGTTCTAAAACACGTGATCAACAAATAAAATATACTTTTTAGATGAAATCGCATAGTAGAGTAGTAAAAATTATTCTTAAATATTTAATTCAAATGTACTCAAGTAAAGGTTCTGAATAATATTTCCATCAATACCCCCCCCCACCCCCCCACCCCACCCCACCCCACGCTCCATCTATCGGACCTGTTCTAATCTTTCTCTGATTGACAGCTCTTGGTACTGGACCCTGCCAATGTACAAGTGACACCAAATCAGCGCGCACACACACACACACACTATCACAGTAACATAAGCCTCAGTGTGTGTATGTGTGTGTATGTGTATGTGTGTGTGCATGTGGGTGTGTGTGCAGACCGAATCAACCAGGTAATGAATCAGGCTTAATGGATCAGTTGTCATGAGTTATTCATGTGGTTGCTGGTGTCAGTTTTGTTGAAAACATGAAGTTGATGATAACGAGCTCATCTAGTTGTTTTGTATGGAGCTGATAATTCTTCACTATACATCTGGTACACAAACACTATCATGTGCAATTCTACTAAAAGCTTCACAATAAAACTTGGAGTTTAAAGTGTTCTGTGGAACATTTCAGTGTCTAAATTCATATTAGTGAGGTCTAAATTAAAGTTGGTATGGAAGTGGACTACATACATGAACGGTAGATTACAAGAAACACCTCTGAATTTAATCCAATACAACACCACCGCTAAGTATAAGCTTGATGCTAAAATATTCAATTAAATTCAAACATCCATGAAAGTGTCAGAAAACACTTTGAACATCGAAGCCATCAGAAAGGTAGAAATTGAGATAGAACAGTATTTTCACACTGTGCAGTTCATTGTGCAAAGGAACTCCACAAGGACAGTCAGCAGTAACAATGGAAGTCAGGCAAATATGAGCTTTTTATGCAGCTCAGGGGGTTAAGAGGGTCGTCCACTGAGCAGAGGATGGGTGGTTTGATCCCCAGCTCCTCCAGTCTGCTTAACTTTTATGCTAACAAAGTGTGAATGGTGAGAGCCAGAAAAGACAGAGCATGTGCATGTATGAATGTGTGTGAATAGGACTTGTACTTTGAGTGGTCGATAAGAGAACAGCTTGTATAAATACAAACAAAACACAAGTTCAAAGATGTAATGCTTTTCTGGCCTGTCATATTTCAGATGTAATATTTGAATTCATTAAAAAATCTTTTTTCAGATGTGAAAATGTAGCTGTAGTCCAGATTATAAAATGTAGCTGTAGATATTTGGTGTCAAAACCCCCAAAACATAAAATGGTAGTGATCTGGGAGTAATAGTCATTTTTATATTTTGCTTGAGGATTAGATGATTTAAAAGAGACTCTTGTTTCACACGCTGTCATTGTCATACTTGTCTCCAGGCTACAGCAAGATCACTCACAATTAGAGTTTCTCATTTCAAACAGCCGGTTTCTACTTAATAACTTTTTCCCGGTTACATTTCATTAACAGTGGTTGCTCTTGAGCTGCACGCCAGGCAACGAAGGCTCAATCTGTGCAGAAGTTGTGCTAAAAATAGAGGTTGAATCATTACTGTAGGTCCTCACTGCAGCAGCTGTCGCATAAAACTCTGTTGTTAGACCTGTCCTAAAGTGGCCTCTGGTGGTGACTGCTGCTCATTACACGAGGCTGACCCGGCTGAAAGAGAGGCCACTTTCATCTTATGATCCAAAAGGGTTCCGAGCTACTCAGTCTTATGAGGAGAATACTTTGGGGTTTACACTTATTTTACTGAATCAAGACATTGTTCTTTTTTAAAAAAGGTCCTGCACACTTTTACTTTACTGATTCAACCTCTCAGGTCTGTGTATAACTTTGCATAACTGAAGAATGGTGTGTGTTTGTAAAAAGGTAGAGCAATACCAATTTACTGTATCAACTTTAAACTTGATTGATCACTTTGGTGTCCTCAACTTGTTTCTGCTGCCCCCCAGAGGCCAATAAACAGCAGGTTTAGGATCCAACTGTGATTGAGTCAATGTATCTCCAGCAAGTTAAAAACAAAATAATCAGATTGCTTCACACATTTGTTTTAAGTGAGAAACAATATTTTGAATGCAGAATATCTAACGTCATTATTTCACATTTGTTCACAAACCATTTCAACGACACAGACTTCACACATGATTCATTCACGCTGACACAGTAAAACAATAATCCATCCACACCACTTATCAATTGAGGGTCATGGGGGAGCTGGAGCCAATCCCAGCTGACATTGGGCGAGATAAAGGGAATTGCTGAGGGGACTGTGTTAACCACTGCACCACCGTGCCACTTTAAAGTAAAAATACTTCTACTTCCCCCAGAAAATATTATTTCTATTGTCAGTGTATCTCTACTGCACATCGTAGTATAGACTTACATATTCAACAGTACTACCAACAGCCTGTGTGCCAGTTAGATATTGGATACACACACAAGCTGTAGTCTCCATATGGTGTACTTTAGGAAGCAGAATGCCAGATCTGCTTTTGGAGGGATTTGTTGACAGATGCTTTGTACGAGCTCAGCCGCTCACTTTACACTGCACTCACAACCTCAACGTGTGATTTTAATGTTGTCCGTATTTATTTATCTGGGGAGGACTCAGACTACATCCGACTCCTGCTGAGCGTGACCCGAGACAACTCTGACCGGAGACTGAAACTCTGGGTGTCTGAGCGTCTTGCGTAACGTCTCTTTCTGTGATGCACCAGTTCTTTTCTCATTAATTTGAGGGTTTAAAAGAATCTAAACCACAAAACATTTCGTGGAAAACAAAAGCAAACACTAGCTGAGAAACTTCTAGGAATCTCAACACAAAGGTTTCTACTTTGACCATCACATGCACTTCACACTAAACTAGATTTTAGGATGAAACGTTTAATTCAGTTTGAGCCCCAAGTTGTCATGAAACATACACATCGTGGATTCCCCTCAGTTTTAGAAATATCTGATGTATATTCGCCACACATCTACACCTGTGATCTTTAGTGTCTGCGATTCATTTTGTTGATTTTCTATTTATGCGAAAAGTTTCATCTTTCTTTTATCCAAGAAAAGTTGAATCAAGGGCAGCTGCTCTTGGTTTTAATCGAGTATTCACTCTCAGTTCAGCTTTTCTTGCATAACAAGAGGACAGAGAATCATCTTTGGTGTATATGCAGAATTGATCTTGACATGTTTTACATACTCGTCCCATCCAATGTTTAATATTTTCACATCTGGATTTAGTCCAAGTTAAACATACAGAAATTGAAATCAGTTGAATACAATAAACTTTATTGGCATGACCATCACATCACAATATCGTAGACAATTTGAGGATCAAACTGACAGTAGGAATGTAAAAACACTAGATAATAATAAGCAATTGAACATGTGGTCAGGGCTCTAAATGGGTTCATTTGGTTTGCACAAAACCACCACCTGGGGGGAATGGCAACATCCACAGTTTAAACAACCTTCTCTGGACACCAATCAATAACAAGTAATTACTGATAAGAGGCAGAGACGTGCATCTTTTTCACAAAGAATTTTATTGACAAAACTCAAAATAAAATAGTGTCTGGAGCTGAAAGGGAGAAACAAAGAATCAGAAAAATATTCTTTGTTGCAAACAGGATTAAAAGTAAATTTTATTATGTTACTCTAAAATCTTAACAAATCTCTGGGGGGCTGTGAGCTGAAGCCTCATGTGGAGAGGCAGTCTAACCAAAGGAGTGCCACCAGTTACTCACCCCGGGGGACTCACAGCAACGGTTCACGCAACACTCTTGTCCCAGTGCCAGGAATATAAGCATAAACAATACAATGGTAAACAATATAACCAATAATGGTGTAACCCAATTGTTCAATGAAAAAGATAATTCAAACAAACAAACTATACAACTAAATAAATGCTGCCAAAAATTAATAAAACCAATATTAAACAACAATACAGCAGCAGGTGAACCTAAGACAAAGCAAACTTTAGTTAGGCTGACCATGCTGCAGAAATACACATATAGCAATATGGGGGCCACCACTACTCAGCACCTCCAGTCCCTTGGCATGTGGCTCTCACAACCAGCACAACAGGGCACACGCAGGCTGGAATGGAGGCATTAAGTGTGCATGCCACAGAAAAGGAACCTGGCAGGGTAGAGAGTCACTTCAGCCACATACCTGTATAACCAGCAACCATAGCAGGTCAACAGCAGAGAGACAAACAGAGGCGCTCAGGTGCCTTATATAGCCTGGCTGAGTAGAGGAGGAGTCAAGGCTGGGGCTGCGTTCAGCACTGCTGCACACTATGTTCTCCTCTTTATATACAGTCTATGGTTCTCCCACAGTGAGGATTCTTCCACACAGCAAATAGATATAAGAAGTCAGATATTACATGTGATACAGATAGTTGTGCATTAACATCAAAATAAGCATGGTGGCACTAAGTTGAATTTAGAGGAATATTTAGCAGATTTCTGTCTGTGTCCCACTGTGTCTTCTTCTGTGAAAGGAAAGACTTTTTTGACAATCAACACAGTTACACAAATGCAGGCCACAACACACTCTCGCCTCCTTTTTGTTCCTTCTCTTCCACCCCCTCATTGTATCCCTTTCCTACGTTTCTTTTTATCAACCTATCTTCCTCTTTAATCTAAAATGGCAGGGATTAATCCCTGTGTGTTGAAGTGCTCTTAACACTTCCTCCCTAAAACTCTTTGCACTGTAGATGAAGTCATTGGAACCCTGATGCAACATGTGAGCGATAGAGAGGAGGAGAGGAGAGTGATAGAGAGAGGGGGGCTTTAGAGGGAGGAGAGACAGGGTGGGGATTATAAGCGTTGGTCAGCGTGAGAAGAGTCAGTGATGCTGCAGCAGTGAAGAGACACAGACTGAACTGGGTTCTGAGGAGTTTCTTCAGGCGGTTTGGTCTCGCTCTGCTTTCGTTTCTCCTGATGTTGGATCATCTGCAGTGATGCGTGGATTAGAGCTGGTTTTCCTCTCTGTGGCAGCAGATGTGACGAGCAGCATCATGGGACTCCTAGAAATGTTGGATAAAACTTGTCAGCTTGAGCCGGAGCTGGAACTCTGAAACCAAAAGAGACAAAGCAGATGATAAAAGGAGAAGGAAGAAATAAAAACGGACAAATAAGAAGAGGACAAAGTGTGCGATAGAGAGAGGGAGGAAAAGGGTCAGATTGCTCGTTGACTATAAGTGAAGGTTGGTGATGGGCAACTGCACCAAACCATCTATGAAAGATAAAATGAAGAAGGTAAGAGCTCTTCTTCTTCTACTTCTACTTCTTCTTCTTCTTCTTCTTCTTCTTCTTCTTCTTCTCATTGTTGTTAGAGTCACTGGAGCTTAGATGCTTTTATTGCAATTGTCTTATTATAGACATCGATGTATTGATCATTTACATTTATGGAAATAATTTTGAGTTTCGATTTGATTGTTTTTGTGAAGTCATCATCACACACAGAACAGAGTAAACAAAGTGTAAACAGTCTTTACAGTATGTAGTGACTGAAAAGGCTCAGGTAGAAGCGATGGCTAATATACATGTACTGAATGTCTATGGATAATAATTTATATTTACAGAAATCATTTGAATATTTGATTTAAAGTATTGATTTTTTATCAATCAGTCATTATCATACATTTTGAAACAAGTATACACAATATGCAAATGCTTGTATATGCCTGCTCATATTCTTATTAAATCAAGGTACCCTCCAAAGTTCATTATTGATCTTTGGAAAACAGTTTATTTAGAAAAATTCACTGGTCACCTTGCTTCTATCTTATACTTATAAGATAAGAGAAGATATTATTATTAATGTTATATATTTGTGTGCAAATGTATGTGTTAGAATTGTTTGTTTTGAGCTTCTCGTATATAAATCATCTCCTTCATAGTTGCACTGTCAGAAGTCTGTAATGAAGGACACACCGTGTGTAGCGTCTTACGGTATTATGACACTTAGCAGAATGAACTCAGTGATGCTCAGTGTTGTGAGACCACAGCAGGACGGACAGAGAAGGAGAAGCTGAGATCAAGATGGTTTTTCGCAGCGAGGATAATATCTGATGTGAGTGGATTGCCTTGAAATAATAAGCAGCTTATGTAACGCAGGCTTACGGCCACATTCTATTTAATGTTTGCACGACTGGAAAACAGAGGGTCTTAACCTTGTTCCTTAAAAGATAGGATTGTTTTTTTCAATGTTCGAAGACAACAGGTACAGAGGCAGGGTGTGTGTCTGACAGTGAGAGTGGTTAACAACCTGGTCTGTCTCTAAAGGGGGTAATGGAGGGGTCCCAGCAGGAAAAAGTGGGGGCAGTGGGCCAGCAGGGTCTGCAGCCAGAGGGAGAGGAGGAGGATCAGGACTTGGAGGATAAGCCGTTCAAGGATCCTTTCGGTGCTCTGGTGAAGAACTGCAACATGCTGCACAACATTGTGGGCCCAGCCTGCATCTTCCTCAAACAGGGCTTTTCTCAGACACTCGTATGTAAAAGCAAAACAAAGTGTGCACACTGTGACCTCTCACAACCCCGGTGCAACTTTTCTTTCCCCAATCATTTCAAGTCATTTTCATCCTCACATTGTGGCTGAGCCTCCCTAAACTGTGTCATCCCTCACTCAGGGTCAGACGATCAAATCTCTTGGCACCTCACATGCTCAAAGAGGTCGATCGATCAGTTCCATGGAAAACTATTGACTAGATTTGTGGAGTCGTGCTCTAAAATGTGTTGCACAAGGTGATGTGGAGGACAGGGCTGCATTTACAACCCATTAGGTGGCCCCTCGGGGGGACAGGAAAGGCCCCTAAAGCCTCTTGGTTCACTGCTTGACAGTTAGTCTGCTATAATTCTAATATGTAAAAAGCATAGACTGATCACAAAGATGGACAATAGGACAGACCCCCAATATCGATTGCCCCCTGACATTAATAAAAAAAAATTGCTGTTTTTAATTTTCACCCCCTCCTGGTGAAAGTATATTCAGTTCTAATGTCACTTTATTAAAACAGTAATATAGTTCTGTAGTTTATGTTAACTCAAACCTCCAAGATACAACATGACATAATCAATGCGCCTTAAGCATAACGTGTGTTCATAATAGATTTATATATCGTTATATGCTGTTGTCAGCATTGCTCATTGTAAGATTCCTTGTTAACACATTGTCCTCTTATAATTCACTTTGACCTTGAGGTGTTTTTAATTTGTGATTTGAAAAATGTTTTATTTTTATCAGAGCAACCACAGTAAATAAAATGATTGCAGAGGATTTGTCCCATATATGTTGGTCCCTCTGTAAAGCTCTTATCTTAGCTGTGTGATCTGAATCACAACTTCCATTGTGTGAGTGTGTATGGGCAGGCTTGCGTGCGAAGCTCGAGCGCCATGTGCATCTGTGGATATACAGTAAATGTGTCCGAGGGTATCTTTAACTAAACCATCTAGATCTCCTAATCTCTAAATGTTGGTTGCCTGGCAACCATCCTCAAATAATGTGGTTACCACTGGTGATTTATACTACATGAATTTCCATACTGTATATATCATATTGTGTTTAACAATCTAATCCACAAAGATTTAGATCCAAACAGTTTTTCATTTCTGTCTGAAGCAGCTTAGCGACACCTTTAATATCACACTGCACTGAATCCCTTCTTATCATTTCAAATGATATTGAATCATAAAACCTGATAAACAATCACATCTCATACATTTTCAACTCATTCAACTCAACTCTGGTCAGACTTCATGACTTCTGTCACACGTAACTGAAAATAGGTTTTTAACAATATGTATCTATCATTATTCAAAAAATATGAATAATGATAGATACATAATAATGATAATAATATTAATTAAACCATAACATAATTATAATTTTTCATGTTTGTTGGTGTTTTGATCACTTGACTCTTATGTCTGTGTTTCATTTCTTCCCGGTTCAATGTGCTCTTGTGTCGTGGTGAATGTGTGTGTGTGTTTAGATGGTTGTGTTGCTGCAATGATGAGTTACATCCAACATTGTTTACTTCTCTGTACAGTCAAATATTTTCAGCTTGTGAGTTTGTTACAGTGAGAGGTTAATGGTTGGATGTTCTCTCTCTGACAGGACCGAGAGCTGAGACCAGAAGAGCTTGATGGTGAGAATATTTATCTACAGCACATCACACTGTGACTCAACATGATAGTGCATGTCTATACATATTTCTGTTTTTTCTGTTTTTTTTATTCAGAGCTGCGTGAGGCATTTGTGGAGTTTGACAAGAATAAAGACGGCTACATCAGTCATAAAGACCTGGGCGAGTGCATGAGGACCATGGGATACATGCCCACAGAGATGGAGCTCATCGAGCTGAGCCAGCAGATCTGTGAGTGGATGAGCAGCCTGAAACACAACAAGAACAAAAACAAGAATCGCACAGAACAGAAGAGAAAAGAGCAGGAACAGTAAAAGAACGGCACAGAAACCAAGAAGAAGACAGCAGATCAGAAACAGAACAATAAGAGTATAACAGTGGAAGACCGAACAGAGCAAGAACAGAAAATAATAGAAGAGAGGAAAACAAAACAGAACAAGAACGATAAAACTCATGGAACTTATTAAAAACTGCATGCATGATGTGTGTGTGTACTGTAGGTGGAGGTAAAGTGGACTTTGAAGACTTTGTGGAGCTGATGGGACCTAAGATGCTGGCAGAGACAGCAGACATGATTGGAGTCAAAGAACTGCGAGATGCATTCAAAGAGGTCAGGATTTCCATACTGTTCAAAAAACTGTCTCTCGGTGCATCGAGGCCTTTGGAGCATCTCCTCTGTTTTTTCTTCCACGACAAAACCTATGTAATGAATCGGACTCTTATCAGTGAAACAAGATTACTTGTAAGGCTATCAAGTTTCACGCTTGGCAAAATCGACACAACTTTTTCCATTAAAAAAGGTCATGCCAAAAAAAAGAAAACTTTGAGAATCACAGCACAAAGGGTAGATTTGGAGATTGTTATATTTTGTAGGATGTGACAATGGAGGATGCACTAAAAGCAAACTGATGCATTTCCCTGGTGTGTTTAGTTTGATAGTATGAACACACTAGAATGGCACGCACTACTGCACATACCTCCACCAGGATCTTAAATTCAATCACGTTGCACACACTCATAATCCTGACTGTCTTCTCTTTGGTTCCAGTTCGACTCTAACGGTGATGGCCAGATCAGTTTAATGGAGCTGCGTGAGGCCATGAAGAAGCTGATGGGAGAACAGGTGACCAACAGAGAGATCAACGAGATCCTCCAAGATGTCGACCTCAACGGAGATGGTCTGGTGGACTTTGAGGGTATAAGAGGAAACTGTTTGCTTTTATGAGACCTCATAAAAAACAAACATTCATCCTCATCCTCCTCCCTCTTTCTTGTGTTTTCAGAGTTTGTGCGAATGATGTCCCGCTGACATGTTCAGCTGCCCACATGTCCGACGGAGAGACAACCATTATGCAACTGCTGGAAGAGAGAACATGCACGACATGTGCACATTCTTCATCTGCTCTCAAGAGTATTGCATCTAAAACTATATTTTTATATGGAATAAAGGAAAAAAAACTGCACAAACATTTAGCATTATAGCAGCTGTGACACATATCAGAAGCTTCTTAGACAACATTTCTGACTTTGTGTTTTTAGATGTATTTTTTACGAATCTGTTTATGTCCTCTAAGTGTTCAATCTTGTTTGTTAAAGTGTAAAGATTTTTCTAATTAAAGAAAAATGCAAACATTAAATGACTATCAAGATTATTTCAAGCAGGTGAACTTGTTAATGATACAATCATTAGGCTCCATATATACAGGCAAAAGAGGAGGTTTGTGGACTATAGAAGCAAAAGCATTTACAATGTAAAGAGAGTAAATAAAGAGAAGAAAGAATAGAAGAGAAGAGAAGAAAAGAGAATAGAAGAGAATAGAACAGAATAGAATAGAACAGAAGAGAAGGGAAGAGAAGAGAAAGCCTTTCTTGTCATTGAAAAAGCAGTACAAAGAAAAAAAAGAGGTGCTACTTCTGAAAACCAAGAAGAGTGGATATCTCTTTGTTATTGCAGATAATAGATATTACACTTAAAAATGATGTGAATATATATGTTGACATACAGATTGTTTTTATGTTGGCTAGGCCGAAGTCAAATGTATAATTTGAGGCTCCAAACGGTGACATCAACCACAGTCTCAACTAAGCTGCAGTGACAGATTATCACTGTAAGTTGAATTACATGTTACTTCAAATATCCTCATAATCATAATATCAAAAGGTTTGAAGCATGAAATGATATTTTTTAGTTTTTTAGTTTTATAATCCTCCAAAATGCTGAGCATTACAATAGTAGTGACTGGTTAATGATTACTCACACTTTTTCATTTACCTGTGTGTTGTTCATCAACATTTTATTCAGGTGTTTTTGTCATGAATAAGCAACAAGGACGACTTGTTTGAAATCAAGATTTTCCTTTTTATTGAAAACTTGGCCAGGATTCTGTACAGCAGAGAGGGTGTGCAATGCACAAGGGCAAGAAGGGGGGGCGGGGGGGGGCAGGGTAGGGGGCTCAAGGGACTCAGTTTCCCATGGTGCATCGTACCCTGAGCTGAGAATCATGTGTGTGTAAAACAGCAAGAGGCATTGTGTTTCCCTCTTTGGTGTCTCAGAGGACAGTGGCGGGGAATGGGGTGAGGGACTAAAAAAAGGAGAAAAGGGGGGAAAGTAGAGCTCAGCCCATAGGGGAGAAAGAGAAAAGTAGAGACAGAGAGGAATGGAGGATGGTGTCATGCTCCAGATGGTCCTTCCACTGAGGTGTTGTCTCTGATCAGGGGCAGATCTACATCCTCACCCTTCCCCTCACTGTGTCAGATTGTACCGAGGTTAAGGCCTCAGACATCTCTCCCCCTTTCCCTCTTCCTCCGCCCCTCTCCCTCACCTCCGCTCTTTCTCTTTCTCTCCTTCCCTGAGCCTCACTTGCTGGCCATGGTGTAGCAGCCCTGTTGGTGCCACTGCATGTCACGGATACGCCTCACGGACTGGAACTGAGGATTGCGGGCACCATACTCGTTGAAGTGCCTGAAGTCGCCCTTCTCCAGCAGGTACTGGCTACCACGGTATCCAGGGAACTGGTATCCCACCCAGCTGGAGAAAAAGAGGAAACGTTTAATGATGTATTGAATGTCATTGAGCTCTTGCAACCACCATATTTATTCAACAGCATCAGAGACTCACGTTCCACAGCTGACAATGATGCTGCCAACTCTATCGGTGAAGCCATAGGAGAACAGGCTGGGAACGTCATCGTCCATGATCTCCATCTTGCGGCCCTTGAACTCTCCCACCTCATGCAGGCAGATCTTGTGCTTCTCAGGGTCCTGGAGGAGAAAAACACTGAGGTGAGAGAAGCGTCTGAAGCAAAAGAGAAGTAAAAAACATGAAGTAGTGAATTTTTATTTTACCATCCTGACGGGCCTGAAGGACAGCAGGTAGTCGTTCTTCTGGCTGTTGCTCCAGGAGTCCCAGCGAGGATACTCTCCCTTCTCCAGGATGTACATCTCACCACAGAAGTTCATCTGCTCAAAGCCCACGAAGCTGCAGATGAAACGAAATGTTAAGAAGTTTCCCTGCAAAGCTACAGATACAGATACTTCATCTTTGAGATACTTACGGTCCACACTCAACGCGCAGGGAGCGCACGCGGTCCATTCCCAACTCACACACATTCATGCACTCGTTGCTGATCTCGATCATGCGACCCTGGAAGTTCTCCTGGTCGAACACGTACATCTGGGGGAGACAGATGTTCACAGATGAGTCAGTGTGGCAAACAAAATATTTCTTCATTAATGTATATGAGCCTCTGTGAGAGCGTCTCACCTTGTAGGACATCATTCCCATCTCAGACTTCTTGCTCTGAGCAGCCTTCCCATCAGTCTGGGAAGAAGTCTTGGACTTATCTCCACTGGACATAATTACTGGGTGGAAAGAGAAACAGAAATGATGAGACAGTACAAACATGTAACAATTGGAAATAAAAGAATGCAACCAAAAGAAGGGAATGATACAGGATGGTTGTAAAACTGTGATAGATAATTAGTATCTGTATTTCCAGTCCAACCCTCCTGCTTTGTATCCCCACACACCTGCAGGTTTACAGTGTATGTGTGTGTGTACCTTACCGGTCTGTGTGTGCGATGCCTGTGCTGAGACTCACTCAGAGTGTGTGCGGCTCAGAGTGCGCCCCTCCCTTTTATACGCTGGCGCCCACAGGAGAGGGATTATGGGCAAAGAAACAAACCTGCTGAGGTCAGAGACGGGAGACAAAAGAAACCCCTCATCATCAGAGAGGGACGGACAGAGGGGGTGGGCAGAAAAGGGCGGTCCTGTGACTAACACTAGTGGAAGTTTTCCATAATGTTATATTTCAGATTATTTTACTGTAATTTCACAGTGACGTGATTGTTGCTTTAGGAATATGGCTTCAAATGCTGGGTTTCCGATATAGTTGCAACAGTGTTATGTCATTTAATAGGAATGTTTCGTGCTACATTGTGTTTCCAGTCACATACAGAGCGTTCAATAAGCAAGCGGACTTGCTTTTGTTTCCTGAAGATGTTTCAACTCTCGTCCAACAGGTGTCTTCAGTTCTAACCCTGAGTTTTCAGGTGTTGAACCTCTGTGGGTCTTTTTTGTTGAGAGTTGTTGTGTTGATAGATGTCACATCATGTTATTATGTCAGAGGGAAACATTCATGTCTGGTACATAAACCTGAATAAATTGTTTCACCACTTAACTTTGGTGGTTTCTGTAATTCTCACATGCAGTGAAAACAGAAAAAATGTTGGACCAACCCTAAAGAATTTACTTTAGTTGGTAACACATACAATTAAATGAGTTTGTTCAAATTAAATTAAACAAGTTATATTAACACAATTCAACACAATAATTTAAACATAAAATAAAACGTTTTACAAAACTATGTGTTAATTATTAGATAGATAGATAGATTGATTGACTTTATTGATCCTAAACTGGGAAATTCCAGAATTACATATCATTATTATTATTATCATTATTGTTATAATTATTATTATTATGCAGTTTAGAATTGGACATGTAATGGGGGGGAGGGGTTACCTCACTAATGAGTCTGAATGAGTGGAGTGAAAAAGACTAGTTGTTGGTCAATAGACATCTTTATGAAAACCAATGGTCATATTAAACCACAGTCTACACCAGTGTGCACACACATGTCTATGTGAGAACCTTGATGGTGCGTAAAAGTGTTTGGTGACACTAAGATGGTGTTCTGTGACGAGGAGGAGAAACTTTACTGTCCCTTACTGTCCCTCCCTCCGTCCATCCATCCCTCCATCCATCCATCCAGACCCACCCAGTCTCCTCCCTGTGTCTGCCCCTGCGCTCCACCGTTAATCCCCCACATTCTCCACACCGATCCCGGCCCTTTGTGCCAGGCCACACGCTGGACTGCTGACCGGTGTCGGAACATACCGGAGCGCCCTTTGTCTCAGAACAACCAGCGGCCACTATGGGATCTGCTGAGCTGGTCGCTGCAGAGGGACAACAGCAGCCAGAGGGGGGACGCAGACGAACCGGGAGCGCGCCTCTCCAACCTGCTCTGCCTTAATGGACTGCGTAAAGGCCTGTGCGTGGCCATGAGCCGTGGACGCGCACTGACAGGCGCGCTCCCCGACCGTCGGTATAAAACTGAAGCGCCAGGTTCTCTCAAAGCTCTACGCGAGGCAGGCGGGCGCGTACCACTCCAAAGCTCTTCTAATACAGTGCCAATCTAGGTAAGGCTGCATCTCTGCTCACTGACAGCTGCTGCACACACCACCTGAAAACCAGAAGCACTGACTGAAACTCCTGCACAGCACTGATCAAACTTGTCATTCAACTTTTAACACATTTTACTTCTATTTGATTATTTTATATTTGTGGTTAAGTAAAAGGTTTTTTTTCCCCACTTAATGAATTATGTCAAAACATTCCAAGTGTTCCTCCTCGTAACTGGAAGAGGCTCCATCATGCATAAAACTGATTCTTCTTCACCTCCTTCTCTCTGTCCTCATGTGCCTCCTCAAGAGTAAAGATGTACAGAACTACAAGATCCCCAATGATGCAGCCGCTGGTCAACTCAGGAATGGGCATGGCACCTTTCTTCAAGGTAAACGCACATACTTGTGCTGTGTTAGTATTGAAAACTGGATCACATGGTGATGGAAGCATTTATAATTGAAAAGAGAAATCACAAAGACGTTAAGTTTGCACCTTGTTACCGATTAACATCCCTGCACCTCTCTCTCTCTCTCTTTCTCTCTCTCTCCCTCAGGTGACTGTGTTCGAGCAGGAGCACTTCCAGGGCAAGTGCTTGGAGTTCACCTCCGAGTGCTGCAACATCCAGGAGTGCGGTCTGGACAACATCCGCTCCATCAGGGTGGAGAGCGGAGCGTAAGTCTCGCAAACTGAATCTGTGGTGACAAGAGAAATATGAAAACTGAAACACACTGATGGGGTCCATCAAGGAAAACTATTGTTCTCATTTCTTCTACTTGAATCCACCATGCCAAACACAGATGTTGGATGCTTTAAGACAATTGAGATGTGGATCATATAAAGGGAGCTGCACCTCAGGCTCAGTCTTGTTTTTCCACAGTTGGTTCATCTGCATGTTTTTGTGCTGAATTTCTTCATCCAGGCTGAAAACAGAAGTGTTAATTTGGTACCAACATATAAGTGAGATCACAGAAACAAACAAATGTCTGCAGGTCATTGTGTAAAAAAAGGCCCCTCTTTTTCTCTGTCTCTCTGTAGCTGGGTCGGTTTCGAGCACCATGACTTCCAGGGCCAGCAGTTCATCCTGGAGAGAGGAGAGTACCCCCACTGGGATGCTTACAGTGGTTCCCTCTCCTACCATGTGGAGCGCCTCATGTCCCTGCGCCCCATTTACTGCGCTGTGAGTAGCCTACATCCTGATTCCTAAATGTCCAGCTGCCCTGACCTCTTCAGGGAATCCAATTAAAACGCCTCTGTCTCCGTTGCAGTCCCACCAGAGCAGCCGCATGATCATCTTTGAGAAGGAGAACTTCATGGGCCGCAGTGTGGAGATCTGTGACGACTACCCCTCTCTGCAGGGCATGGGCTGGATGATGCCCGAAGTTGGCTCCATGCATGTGCAGTGCGGCGCGTGAGTCTTTATGAATTTCTCCACCAGTGGGATGCTCATGTTCAAAACCTAAACAAATTTGGTTCCATTAAGTGTTTAGTGTTCCCTTGTTTTAGTTTCTGTTGCTTTAACGATGTAAAATCCCAACATAGACCAAACATCACCTACTTCAATCCGCAAACTTCCCCATGCTAATACATCTGTTTATTGCCATGACCCATCATCAGCTTGTATTGTATGTAATAGACATACCAGCCCAAAGCTCTGAGCATTAACTAAATCCCCACTCTGTCACACTCTGTCACTGTGGCTCCTAAAATAGTCCCCGCTAACACACTCTGCCTTTTCTGTCCCTCCTTCAGCTTTGTGTGCTACCAGTACCCAGGCTACAGGGGCCAGCAGTACATCATGGAGTGTGAGAGACATAGCGGAGACTACCAGCACTGGAGGAACTGGGGCTCCCACTGTCAGACCCCCCAGATCCAGTCCATCAGACGCATCCAGCACTGAGAGGAGAAAGACAGGCTGAGACCGCAGCTCACGGACAGCACCTCCCCTTGACCCCCCCCTCCCCTTTTACCCATAACCCCCTCCTCTCTTTTCTTTCTGTCACTCTTCAAAACCCTTTTTCCTTCTTCTCGACTTGAGCCACAACATCCGCCCCAAACCTAAGTCAACACCACCACTGATTTACAGCCGCTGCCAGTGTGATAAGAGACAATATCGCACTGCTAAAGCACAGGGAAACACACACATGCACACACACATACACACACACACACATGCTGACATAAGTGACACTCACTGACAGTGTCTTTTTACTTGGTTTAGACGTCCCTACACACTCACGCACACAAACACACACCTGCGCTGTACTCTCACCTGAGACCGGCGATCAGTTTCCTCAGCACGCTGGAACCAGAGACTGTGCTGTGGTGCAGCTCAGATGTGTTGTGATGTTTTGTGTAGGAGGTTGATCCACAGGTTGATGACTAATAAACTCATTTTCACCTCATGTCCTCTTGTTTTATTATTGATCACATTACGTGCATGTTTGAAACTAGTTTTAATACAGTGGGGCGTCCTCTTCTCTGCCATACAAGGGTTGGCTTTAAAGTTTTTAGTTTGAGGTAGTTGAGGTTTGCAGGTCATGTCCACTGACGTGTTTTAATAGCAAAAGGTTTAAAATAATCAAAACGTCTCTTGGGGAAAAAGCTTAATAAAGTTTCTACTCATGTTTTGATGCTTTATCTCAAAATTAAACCCAGTCAGGTTTAGATTACATTGTAACTGACATGAAGTCAAACTACCAACTGATCTCTGTGAGGCAGGAAACTACAAACTAATAGGTTTAAAAAAAAAACTCCTGGGTCAGGATAGGAGATGATTCAATAATTCATCTCAAAGCAGGAAGTATCTTTACCGACTCTTTAGTCTGGTGGTCGACTCTGCAACCAAAGAAGACACATGAGAAAAGATAAAACACTAAAGAAACTGTTGCCACTCTGTCGTACCTCTGCCAATGCCACACTTATTTCCCTCAAACTAAATTATGCTGCAACAAATTAAAAATGTGCGTTTTATTTTTTAACTGAAACATCAATTCATACATCTTATTTTAAGATTTAAAAATACTAAGCTATAACTGATCATGCTTATTGATGTATGGTGAGTCCTGATGAGGAGCCTCATTTTCACTGATGTTTACAGACGTGATACGACGCAGTGAAAAAAAGAGAAATCTTTATTGTAGAAATCAGAGTCCGCGACTCGAGGTCAAATCGTTGAAATGGTCAACGTCAAACATGACTTAACAGTAAAACAAGGAAGACGAGAGTTTTCCTGGAACATTTATAAACTGTAGCAGAACAGAGGCGAACATTACCAATCATATTTACAACTTATACAGTCACAGTCATATTTACAAGTAAAAAAACACTGACAGAAGATCAACCAGATTTCTTTCAGTGAATCTCCTCAACTGTGTGGTTCATGTTGTTTTCAACACTTGACAGTTAAAACAAACTTTTCTGAACATATTTATTTAACAGCAACAAATTACCAAACCTAGAAGCAACAAGCTTGAAACTTGTTATATAAAACCAACAGCTGAAGTACAAAAAATGAACAATCCAAGCATGTACTAAGACTCTGCACACAAACCATAAAGTCCTTGTTTGGTGGATCACTTCAGCATTTTTATACACAATGATGCAACTCTGTCTTTATGTCTTCACCACATTCATCTGTTTTTCAAATCCGAACAAACCACGAACAAGTCGCTCAGTTTCCTTGTGAAAAGAAAAAACCCTCGTGTGATTGTCTGATGAACACAACAACAACAACAGAAGACGCTTAAGACGTTACAAAAGAACATTTATGATGAAACCATGTTTGTCTTAATCTCTATCACTGCTCATCTCTTTACCTGCACCTCAAACTCACAGCTACATAAAAACAATTGAGGAATATTTTCTGAGAAATGTAAGAAATAACAAACTGGAGCAGATGAGAAGAAAAGAAAATGACCCGTGTCTATTCGTACAGGGCTGGACGTCACAGATACTAAAGTGAGAGTCCCTCAGTGTGTTTTCTAATTTAAAAGCTCACCTTTATTCACAATAGTGAAGACCTCTGATGAGGCGTAGTCTTTCTTTTCTCCAACGACGTCAATGTCCTCGTCTTCATCCTCCTTGTCTGAAGACTGAAGGCTGATGATCACCGGCTCAGGTATGGGGCTGGACTCTCCAATCACATCGATGTCCTCGTCTTCCCTGCTTCCTGTTGACCCCGTGCTGCTCTTCTGTGCTGAATGTGTTGGAGGTGAAACACACTGGGACAGAAATGGTAATATTCTGCCTATTCCTGCCGGTTCTCTGCAGCCGTCCGTATCGTTCTCCAGGTTGGTTCCATCATCAGTGTCTCCATCCACAGTGATGACCTCATCAGCGCTGCTCTCTATCTCCACACACACCAAACTTCCCTCTGTTTGTCTGACTTTGATTTCTCTGCTTTCTTCTCTTTCCAAACAGTCTCCTACACTAGTCAACGAAATGGTCTCTACATCAATCACTTCCTCTGCCTCCTTGTTCACATGTTCAGAGCGTAGGTTGGTAGATTCAGAGCTGATTGTGCATGTTTCAGAGGTCGGCTGTGCCACTGGCTCAAAGCAAATCCTTTTGGCGTCGCCACGCGTTTCCCCCTCTGACTCTGCTCTCCTCTTCTTCCCTCTCCTTGTAGGATCCTCTTCCTCTTCCTGTGGCTGGACAGTCAACCCTGCCTCACCTCTCTCCACAGTCTGTAGCTGAACAGGTGTTGAACTCCCATCATGAGGTAAGCTTGCATCTCCATTTTTCATGGACCTGCCTCGACTGGACTCCACTGAAGTTGGTTGTTTGTCTACAAGTGGCTTGTAAAGGAAGGGCACACCATCCTGTAAAACAATTGAACTTTATTAAATCGTTCGGACAAATCCAAAACAACAGAAATGGAACAGGCTGTAAGAGTCCATTTCCAGCCGAGGCTGATGGGAAAGTCATTCATTTTGCAGATGTACGGCCATAAAACAAAATACTGGACAAAGTGGAGTTTTGTCCTAATTATGGTGCGACATGAAGTTAAAGGTTTGCTCATTCAACTTCTCGGATTCACTAGTTTCATAATGAATCAATCGTATTTTTAGTGATGATATGTTACGTGTTTATTTAAATATAGAGCCGGGAAGTGAGATCAGATCACCAGTGGTCACAGACACATTCAGGACACATGTTAATACCAGGTGTGAACGGACAAACTTAGAGCTGACCACTTCTGATCGGATCTCTGAGGCCAGATGTTAAAACCAGGTCTGAGCAGGGCCTAAGGTAAATCATCTGAAGACCATGAACGTCTGAATAGATTTTCAGGATAACTAATCCCTCTGTCGTTGAGGAACTTCAGTCTGAAAAATTGCTGGACCAATTGAACAACCAATCCTTCTGTCCCGAGAGCTTTAGTCCCTAGAGTCAAAACACGACATTGTAATCTGAGTTTGCAAAACACATCTTGTACACAAAGGTAAATGCTCACCATGATATTTCCTTCCCTCAACCTACTCCTGATGGGATAAGTCTTTCTCCTCAGCAACTCCGATTGGCTCTTCTCAGACGAGTCGCGAGGGTGTCTTACCGATGATGAACTGTTTTTTCTTTTTGCTGGGCTCTGAAAAATATACAAGCACTTTCCCATTATGTCGCTGCAATAGTCACCCTCACATTAGCATCAGTTTTAAGATATCGGCAGATCTTTTAGTGGCGAGCAGTTAGAAAACTGTGTCACCTTGACTTCCAGACGTTGACAGCTGTGTCCCTGCAGCGTTATTCTGACTGGTATCAGGGCGCCCCTCTCCAGTTTCACCACAGGAATCTGCTGGAGCTGTTTGTCTCTGAGGTCGTGAATGATTTTAATCTTTGCATCACTCATTGGCCCCGACTTCCTCACCCTCTTTTTCTCTAATGAGAAGAAGTATTGCCTTTTTCTTCTCTTGTATGCTTTTTTTCTCTGTGTCCTGTGGTTCCCTGATGTTTCCTCAGCACGTTGTGGGGGAACGGGACCATGAGCTGAGGCCTTGCGTCGCTGTGAACGGCTTGGAGGTTTTACTGCCTCCTCACCCTGCTGCGATTCAGTGTGAGGGTGTATGACTGGACGGGCTGTGGGTTTATTCCGTGGACAAGAACTCTGAGAAGTTTTGGTCTTGGTCTTAGTTTTCCTGTGTTCGCTCAGGACTGGGGCAGACTTGCTCGGCTCAATGGAGCTTTCACCATTTGTCTCTTCCTCTTCCCTGCCACGACAGTTTTCAACGTGTTGCTCAAACGACTGGAGGAAGTGGTCCAGCATGTCGTTCAGCTCTCCCTCTCCCTGCTGCTGCAGAACAGGTACCTCACCTTGTGCAGAAGAGTGAGTGCTGGCTTCGCTTGTGAAAGCAGCGCCAGTGGTCCAGACCTGTCGTTTGTTTTGGGCCAAACTGTTCCCAGAGGAGACGTAGGTACAGCTGCTGCCTCTGGTTGGTCGAGGACGTGTTGAACCAGGAGCGCAGTTGCTCTTTGGTAAAATGTCCAGTCCCATCATCACTTCCTCCAGGAGACGATCGATTTGCTCCGGCTGGTCTTCGTGGGGTGGCGGCCCTGGAGGAGGGAGGGGGGTGGTGTGGAGGAGGGATGAAGCTGGAGGCATGTAGGAGGCTGCAGGAGACCGCAGGAGAGGAGACGGGGAAGGCTGGAGGTGGGGGCTGGATAAGGTGTCAATGTTGTAGAAGTGAACGGAAGTGGAAGAACACGACGCTGTTGATTTGGAACTCGACTTCTGAGTCCCGCTGCCAGGCAGCCCATCCTGTAACGGGACAGAGGAGAGTTTTACTTACAAAACGAATGCAGAATGTTAAACAAATTCGAATGTGTGTCGTTATTATGTAATGATTGTATTTTGAAGAACGACAATCTCCCTCAGTGTTCTACTGAGACCACAGACAGAACAGACCCTCACCTGTTTAAAGTGCTGCATTGGGGTCCTCTGTCCACGCTGTGTGGCACCTCCTCCTCCTGCCTCACTTTGTGGCAGCATCTCTTCACTCTTACTGAAGTCCAACACTTTGCCACGACCTCTTCCCCTGCGATAGCTCTCGGCCGACTTCAGAAACTCTCTTGTCTTCAGGTACAACTTCCTTCCTGCAGCTCCTCCTCCCTGACCCGCCCTCGATGACCTCCTCCCCCACCTCTGCAGGAACAGCTTCTGCACCTTGCTCACCCCGACATGCTGCACATCCACCGTCTGCGTCAACCTTCCTCTCCACCTCCCTCCTGTCCTTGCTTGTGTTCTCCCCGCCCGTCTCTCAGCTGCCCTGGCTCTCCTGGCCCTCCTCACCCCTGCCCCACGCCTCTGGCCCGCTCGCCTCCTGCTGGAGCCCTCCTCTTTGTCTGGGTTCAGGAAGTAGTTTATGAATCCTGGGATGTTGCCTTGGAATTGCTGTAACTGCTCGTCCTGCCACTCCTCTCCCTCTGTGGCATCTCTGTCTGCTACTGGAGTGGCAGTGCACCAGCTCTTAAGATCAGTGGCACACAGGGTGGAGAACGGCTGGAGAGACAGGGGGACAGAGATGTACGGAGACACCGCAACAGCACCAGATGTGTTGTCAGCTGCTGTGGAGTCTTGCGTGGACGTCGCAGGTGCAGAGGAAGGTTGGTTTATTTGGTTTTCTGGTGTGTAGAGGAGAGATATGGGAATGTGGGGAATTTGAGAGAGAACAATTTGGGAGTCTGTCTCTTCTGCATTCTGGAGAGCAGCCATGTCATGGGTTTCAATGGAGATTGCAGAGTGAGTAGAAGGAGCTGTGTTTCCCTGCACCTCCTCTGTCTGTGTACACATGTCTTTTTCATCATCTGACAGCATCTCCTTCCACAGAAAAGTGCACCCGTCCCTCACCTCTCTCCTCCATTTGACCCGCTTCCCCTCATTCAGCTCCAACATCATCGGCTCTGTCTGAACGCCCACCTCCACATGTCGGCCTCCTCCTTCCCCATCTCTGGTTTTACCATCTCTTCTAGGGACCTCCACCAGCCCGTGGATGCCCAGATTGGCTGCAGCGGAAATAGCCTCTTGCTTCTCCTTCTCCCCCTCCCCTGCCATCTCTCCGGAGTACAGCAGTCTGACCATGTGGAGCAGTGTGCAGGTGCCAAGAGTCTGAAACTCCAGGAGACGACTCTGTCCTGCAGGCGGCGGTGGCGTGGAGGACAGAGCAGAGCACACATTGGGACTTATCGCTGAGAGCACGCAACTGTGTGCCGGCACCAAAACACCTGGAGGAGAGGACAGATGTTAAAATGTAAACGTCTTCACGCAGCATATTATACAGTATGAAATATCTTAAAACAGCAAAACAACACAATTTAAAGTCATCAGTGAAATATGTTTTCATACCATCTGCCTTGAGCAGAGTGTCACAGAACTGGCTGCGCTGCTGCTGTCTCTGCAGCTCAGCGAGGAGGAGGGCTTCAAACCCTGGCTTCTGGTAGCACCACATTTCTCCATCCACTTCAGAGGAGGAGCAGAGAGGAGGAGCTGCTGCTGGAATCTACCAGGATCCAAAAATATATATGGTTAGAAAGTGATTCACAGAAAGAAAACATGGAATTAAAACAAACAGCAATCAAAACAAAAAGAATCAGTTATATTTATAATAACAGAACGTGAAAATACAACACAACGTTTGGAAAACATAAAAGCGTTCTGATTCCAGACTGTTTTAAGAAGAGATTGAAAAGACTTTAAGGATGCTGCTGATCTGATCTCAGTATGTAATCCATCTTGGTTACCCTTAGTTACCAGCTGTGATGTAGAATAACCGGCAGCGCTCCGTCCACAGATGGATGTAGAGACGAAGCCTAAACATTACACACTTTGTTTGAGTGTCCGGTGAATTTTGAATGTGTTACAAGACATTTTGAATCCAGAAAAAATAAAACTCATGTGTTTGTGTGAGGTGCCACACAGCGCACCCTGTAAAAATACACGATCAGTGCAGGGACATGAAATCTGAGATGAGACTGGTCAGTCTTCATGAAGACAAATCCAAATGAGAGACTATAACTAGAATATAATTGTGTCTCCAGGGCAGATTACTTTTTTCCTCCCGCCTGACCCTAAGAGGACACCGTAGCGTTCGCTAGTGTTGAGACTTTTTGAGTGTGTCCTCAAACTGATCAAGATGATTTGTTCGTGTTGAAAGTTGTTCTCTTGATTTGAACGTGTTTTCTATATTTGTGCTCTCTCGGCCTCCGTGTCTTGTTGAACAGAGCTGCGCACATGCGAGTGGACGTGAAACCCTGCGTCCGCGGGGCGGAGCACACCTGCTCGTTAGCATCCCTGCTGATAACTAGCAGCCAGCTAACAGTGCAGCGGGAGCGGGTGTGTCTGAGGCATGACGGCGCACATGTGAGTTCACATGTTGCGAGCGTCATGTGAGCTTCCCTCTTAACTGCACACGTGACAGAGTCCCCACGTGTTTCTGCTTCAAACCAGTGAATCTCACTCACCTCCCAAACCCCTGGATTCATCCGCCCCCTCCGCACACAGGCTGCTCTGATCACTTTTGAAAATATTTACCTTCACCTCCACGTTGACGGGATCGAGGGCTGTTTTGTTTTTTACGCGGTTGTTCTGTCCATTTCTCTGAGGTCATCCACGGGTCAGCGTGGGCATCTGTGGCGACGTTACCCTGCAGTTCCTCCTGTCGCCACCAGGGGGGGAGCAGCGTAAGCACACAGCGGACTGACGGAGACCGAAACAAAAGTCTCCATTCAAACTTTATTCATCGATTAGAAATAGATGGGTTTCTTTCTTTAAAACAAGAAATCAATAAAGATATTGTTTCTTTATTTATACCAGCAAGCGTCACTTATGTTGCTGTTATTGTTCAACAGGGGACATTAATGGATTCGTTTAAAATACATCAACTAGAATTAAATTAGAGTAATATTACATTTATATACACTCTAATATACATAAAAACGTGTATTTACATGTTGCAATGGTGAAATAAAACGAGGTGCAGCACAAGTTTGTTAATACTGTTATAGAGTAAAAACACAAAAAACAACATTCGATACACCTCTTATGTGTATTTGTGACACATTAATAACTTAAAATAAACTATTTTGTTCAAATGTTGTTTAACAAGCAGTGGAAAATAATTCCTGATCCTGAACAGAACGTTTTTTTCTACTAGTTCTGTGTTGGAGAAAACATTTTCCCCAGTTGAAGCTGTTTCATGCTTTCAAATTTAACTTTATGATTATTTTGGCGGTTGTAGTTTGAACAACATATTCGATACAACTCACTGTTACACAATATAACAACGCCACAAACTACAGTCTCCAAAAGACCCTAAAGTTTATCTTTAAGTTGATTTTATATAGAACTGAACATTCTAACCTTAATATAAATGGGTTTGTGTCGCTGGGTGCACTCAAAGTCAGACTGTGTAACTTCTGTTGAGCAAAACAAAACATTTTAGAACTGAAAAGTTTAATTTAGATGCAATAAAACAGAAACTTGCTTAGTGGAGTAAAGTGACACAGAGTTGTAGCTGTATGATCAGTTGGTTAAAGAGGCTGATGTGAAACAAAGGTTTATAATTATGTATAACTGCTCTGTTGTGGTGCAGTTACAATACATTTTAACCGTTGTCAGTATCCCACTGTTCGACTGTAGTCAAATAGACTGAATCATGTGTTTAACTGTTCACACATTAACTTTGAAACAATTTAGGAAAATGTTTCCCTTTCTTTTTTATCAATCTTGCACAGTTGTGTGAAAAACAATGAGGCGCTATCAAGAAAAAATGTAGAAATGTCCTTTTTCCTAATGTGAGTCAGTTTCTATCTAAGGTGGAATGAAGTCGCTCTTCACACTCAGACATATAAAACACAATCCCCCGTGCAGTTCAAGGTCTTATTTGGGGTAAAACATTTGAATGAACATGGATCCTCTGCCTCTTAAAGTTTTTGTTTTTAACCACCTCTACAGTGTCTGTCACTCAGATATGATGGCAGTGTTTTGATGGGCACTTGTGACGTGAGTGTCGATATCAAAATATTTCTATTTTCTAGACGGTGCAGTCGGGAGGAAATCCGAAGTGGAAGAAGCAGCGGAAATAAGATACAGCGCTGCAGACATGGTTTCCAGGTTTGTGATATGTTATGAGTCTGTATTTGTAGGATGTAGAACTGTATGTGGACTCAGTTCATTAGTCAGGTCCAGGAAATATGAGGAGGTTGATCCTGACTGATCTGTTGAATCCACTTTAATGTGGCATTTATTTATTTATTAAAATAGAAAAAGTTTTAGTTTGACATAATTATATTCAAACTGGATTAAAATCTGTGCTCATTAGGGAACAGAAGGGGGGAGGGGTGCGGATGATGTGTTTTTAGATTTTCAGTCTGTTATGTGATGAACCTTCCTCTGATCTCATGAACAAATGCTTGAGCCTCTAAATTGCATCTGGTAGTTTCCGCAGTGTGACAAGCAACAACATGTACAGTTTCTTTATCTTTGTGATTATTTTAAACAACCATTGCGTTTACATTCATTCAGTCACAGCAGCCACAGACTCAGTTTTCAGTGCCACAGCAGTCTCTGCCTCTGGTTTCATATGAAATCATTCCAGACGTTTCTCTGCAGGGAGGTTTGCAGGTTTAATATCTGGGGAAATGAGATCAGTGATATGAAATCAAATAGCTGTCGTGGGGGGACAAGGTTTGACTCATGCATCTCTACTATTAAACAGCTTTTAAAGAGGGAACACTCACGTAGCCGTGATGCACAATATGGTTGTATTTAAGTTCTATGGTCATTTTATTTGATAGCTGTTGATATGGAGGATTTGACCAAGTTTTTGTGTTGTGCTGTTTTAGGTCTCTTCTTGTTGAGTCATGTGTGTTTTCAAGACCCATACAGGAAGTGGAATGGCAAATTAGCTTAGCTCAGGATATAAACCTCATGGTATGAAGTCTTCGATCAAGGTTTGACATCAATTGCTGCAGACAGAAATACAATACAACATAGGAGACCCATAGTGCTTTACTATGAATGTCAGACACATTTTCTAAATAAAACAGTTCTGATTTATCTGTTTTACCACTGAAGATCTAATTCACTTCCAAATAGACAAAAACAAAATGCTGTGTCCTTGAGAAAAGCACTGCAGAGAAAAATAGATCGAAGCCATATGGAAAATAATATATATATATATCACATAAAGTTGGCCCTGTCTTGTATGTTGCAACCATGACAAGCAATTGGCCCTCAGCACACACAGGTGAGGAAATTGGTTTTCAGTGTAATCCAACAGGAGTCCTTGTTCCTCATGTCCACACAGAAAAAGTTAGTCCCTCCAGTTTTCTCCTGATCAAACACCTCGCATCGTCTCATTGTCTCCGTGCAGCTTGAGGAGGAGTTGCTGGAAGGACGAGGAGGGGACCGGACTGAAGACCTCGGTAGGTGCTGGAGCGTCCTGTCGGTGTGGAGCGGGCCGGGGCCAGCGCTCGTTGAACTTGACAAAGAATAGCGGGTCCTTGAAGGGCCCCCCGTAGATGATGGCCTGCATCAGGTAGACGAGAGCCACCACCATGAAGCTGATGAGGAAGAAGGGGATGAAGGGCCTTAGGTGGTGCCAGGCAACCCAGAGTCCGTAGCCGAGGCCTCCGAGGCCACTCTGCTTCCCTGTGTGGGAGGTGTGGCGGGTAGAATCCGGGGCTGGGGTGCGATCAAGGGACTCGTCTGAGTTGGAAGAAGATGGACTAGAGACACCGAGTGAATCCATGAGATATAAGTCAAAACAAAGCAGTTCGTTCTCTCTGAAGCAGATCTGGTTGTACTCAATTTTCTCCACCAATCAGCTACAGTGATCATAAAGAGGGAAACAGGCCACACACGATCTTCCAGTTGAGTGGTTTCCCTACCTTATCATACATGGTATCAGACAAACTGGTGTCCCAGAGATGGACGACTTCAACTCCTCACAACAGCCACTCCCCTCTGAACATGTGTTCTTGTCCTCTCGACAGGTTTCTCGTACGCTGGAGTTTAAACGTGGCAGCTTGAAGTTGAGCTTTAGGAAGAGACAGAGAGGAAATGAAGAGCAGCGTCAGAGCCTTAAATAGATATGACACCCAATGATAGGACACAGGGAGGGAGGCAGGGAGGGAGGCAGGGAGAATCTGCTGCGTTCAGTCGTCTCAGGTTTAAAGAGGGGTGGGTACGTGCGAGTCTGTGTGTCTGTGTGTGTGTGTGAGCTTCACAGGTTACAAATATTACACACACTCAGTGACTAACACAAACACACACACGTGTCAGTTATAGACTCAATTGAAGCAGCATGAGGACTTGTCCAACTTGTTCCACTTTCAGGACACAACTCCAACACTGGCTTTAATTAATGTAAGTGGGGTTAGAGCTTTTTATTGAAATCATATATGAGTGAATACAAATACTTAAAATGTTCAATTAAGATCTAATGGCTGCCTGCTTTCATTTGAAATGTTCTTATGTAAATCAGGACAGTTTAATAGAAATGTTTTCCATATTTGTTTTTTGAAGAAAAGATTCAAACCACATTTATATGAATGAACTACACAGGGTACAACCTCCTTAATGTTACCTACAGACCTGTGTTGTACACTGTTGTCTTAAAAGTCAGGGGAGAGTGAAATTATTTATTCAATACCTGGAAACCTTTCTCCATTTCTAGCAACATAAATGTCTACATTGAACTTTTATCGACTCATTTGTTTAACTGGTTTGGGGTCAGTCTGACAAATATCAGACATTCACACTCTGACACACACTTCAGGCCCTTATGATCCAGCAGCTGCTCCTTAAACTGTTTAAGATGCATTTGACATCACACTAGAAATGCAGCAACACTTTCATGTCCTTGTACAACCCTCATGTGTACTTTCACCATGTTTGGGGCCGGACACACACACACACACACACACACACACA